ACACCACCAGATGGCGCTTATGTACACAAAGACTAAATCCTCACCAAAGATGCTAACTTCTTTGTACAGATCCTCCTAGTGGACGCCCACACCATAAACATGTACGGTATCTACCATGCATGCTTGGAGGTGCAGTCTGGATCTGAAACGTTTGGTTGGCTCTTGCTGTTTTTGTGCAAGTGTGATCTAGTTTGTGATCTTTGCAATTCCAACCCCTGACACACACACACACACACACACTTTCAAAAGTCGCATAAGAATTACAGTTTAAAACATCACAGGTTTCATGTTTGTGAATAATATTTATTCATATTTATAATCTGCCTTTCACCAAATGGTACAGCATGGGTATAAAAATAGTACTACGTACATTACAATTATTAAATAAAAAAAACCAAAAAAACCTGCTTATCCCTACTCGTAACTCAGTACAAGCAAATCATAATGTGGAATTCAGTATGTTGCTTTGAGCAAAATAAATACTAGCCCTTCCCCTTTTGGTGGGGATGGTTAGAAATCCAAGATATTCCAAGTTGGAATGGGAATCATTATGTTCCTTTGTCCTCTATTCCATGAGAACTGTTGGTGGTCCATCAATATGTCCAGTCTCTCTTCCAGGGGCAACTCAAGCTTCATTAACTTGAAGGAGCTGTTGCTTGTCTAGCAAACCAAAATGCAGTCTTCAGTCGAAATCAGATTCCTTATGCCTTGGAAAGGTGCAAGGAATGTAGCCTCCCAGTGTGCTGAACTAACCATTCCATCAGAAACCAGCAAGCAAGACCAGTGCCCAAAGACTTTGGGAGTAGTTTAGCAACATCTGGAGAACCAAAAGTTCATCACACCTCCCCTAGAGAATAAATCTAGAAACTCCTATATGTATTTTCTAGGAAGTGATCTTGTAAAACAGCTAGCAAAAGTGATCTATGTCAGGGTGATATTGGCAGCTTTGCAGACAAAATATATTACGTCAAGTGGAGGAATATCAGCAACTTGCTTGAAAAAAAATAATTCAGTCTTCGCATCTTAATTTCAGCAGTCCTGTGCAAGCGAGTAAGAGGTCTCTTCATACTTCAGTCAGCCTGTGCTTTTGGGAAACTGCACAGAAATCTCTCTCTTCCATAAATATACTTCGGTATATTTCATCCCCAATAGTTACAGCAACTTAGGTGAACGAGTGGCCCAGCCATTGTGTGCCTCCTTCTTCTGAAAGCCTGGAAGCAATGCATCAAGCAGACAAATATTCTAATTCTGACTGTAACCGGTACTGTTACTTGGCCTTCATTTCTTTAAATTGAGCCTTGCAAGCCTGGTGTTATATAAGGTGACCTTGCATCCAGTTCTGCAGGCTTTGTCTCTTTTCCATCACTAGAGAGCTACATTTAGGCTACTGTTCTTGGAGGCTTGTATAAAGTGCAAAGGGCAGAAACGAGCAAGGCTTCCCTGCCAGATCCTGTCCAAAGTAATTGGCTTGACAAGACAGCTGCCAGAATCTGTCCCTGGAGGTCAAAGGGGAAAAGAGAATCAGGGTGCAGTCAACTGCATTGGCTGCTGCAAGAAAAGACCAAGTGATCAATGGTGGCTCAAAGCTGATGGTATAGAGCAGGAGCGGGGTGCCTGAGGACCTCCAGATGTTGCTGGACTCCAACTCCCATCAGCACCAGCCAGCATTGTCAATGTAGTCCCAAAACCTCTGGATGCCACAAGATTCTATTCCTACCTGCAGCCATCATGTGCCTTCCTTCTGAGTATTTGTATAGAAGGACATTCCAGACAACCTACCTATTGTACATTCATCCTTGCACTAAAAAATGGTGCAGTGGTTATAGAACATTGCCTTCATGCAGTAGTTATCCCACACTTTTTCACATCACTTTGCTTAGTGCAAAAAAGTGTGAATTTGGGGAGGAAGTGAATTTGTTACACCATTGCAGTGCCATTCCTCTTTATCACAGTGGTGGCTGAACCTCTCAATTTTGGTTTCTCTTTGATTCAGTTCAGTTCAGTTCTCCACATCTTCACATCAGTATGTGAATGTTTTTTTAAGTTCTCATGAAAAAATGTCAACGTTTTTAGTCCCAATTTTTCCTACTATATAGATTTTTACAAGCAACTTATCTTAACGTAATGCAAGTTTCCCCTAATATGCATTTTTAGGAACACCTTCCCCTAATATGCACATTTTTATCCACATTTATCAGCTGGAGAACTACATCGTAAAATTCAGACAACTGTGAAACTCAAAGGAGAGCTGCATTTCAGTTTGCATTTGGTTTCTAGAAGTGCAAATTAGGTTGGGTCATGTTAAAATGTGAACCACACTGAAGTTCTCCTTAATCCCTTATCACAACATAGCCGCTTTCTTGGGGGTGGATTATGAAGGCATCCTTTCTTGTGCAAAGGACATATTCCAGCATCTCCCCAAATGGGTGAGAGATCCATGCAAGAGTCTGGAAGTGACCTAAGACTGTGTTGTTGTTTTTAAATGTGCATATGCTAAAGCTCTAATCACGTACAGGATCACTGTGGTTTGTCTGATCCTCCCCCTGCAACAGCCTCCCTAGGAGCATTAAGAACAACAAAAATTCCACATGCATATACAAGGCTCCATTTTTACACCTGCACAAAAAGCCAGAGACATAACAGGAGTAAACAATAGGTGTACAAGCATAGCATTATTGTTTGCTTGCTGCCTGTAGACAGGGGTATCATGGATGGGAGATGTGAGCTACAGCCCTAAATCTTTCTCATATTACAGTTTCCAAAGAAGTAACTCCATTAGTCTTTTGCAGCAAAAAACAAAACAAGAGTCTTGTGGCACCTTCAAGATAAACACATTTGGGAGGGCATAAATTATTACAGTATTTGTCATGGCATTACCTGTGAGCCCATTCCCTTGAGGAAAATTTGTAAAATCAAGAGAGTCTCAAAATATCTTTTTCTTCTTTTTGGTCAACCTTTTTAAATATTTCAGATTTATAGTGTTTCACAAGTCATACTATAGGCTTTGTTTCAAGCTCAGCATGGTAGTGTAGTATGACAGTACTTTGTTTTCAGTACTCACTGTATAGTTGCTAGGCAACTAACCAGTGGCAGCAATTTGCATGGCTCTTTGTTTGGATTTTAATATGCAGGCATTAGAGCAATCTGATGCTGGCAATATAACCAGTGACAAATAAGTTCCTTCTGCATGTCAACTTCTTCTTCCATGGTGTATGTGTGTACGTTTGTGTTTTAATTTGTTTGTGTGCAAGTTACCATATTACTGTAGTGTATTTTGTGTTACAGCTTATTTGTTCGGGATATATATATATATATGACATAAGCAACTGTCACTAAATTTATATTTAAAACATAAAGGAAAATGATGATATGATAGGCAAGACATATTTAAAACATCTGCAAACCTTGTTTGCAATTCAAGTAAATTACAGGAACTGGTTTGTTCATAGATACAGAATAAGGAGAAATTAGTAGTTCAGAGAGAAAGAAATTGAACTGCAAGCTGCAATTATCCTGTAAGGAAATCAAGTTTCTCAGTGATATGTAAAAATCATCCCTTAATAATAATGAAATCTGTTGCCACTTCAGAGAAATATCCCTGTCTGTCTGAAAATCAAGGAGTCAGCAAAGAGCCAAGAGTGTAGACAAGGAGTAAACATTTTGTTGAAGTGGCAGCAGTCAGTGATGAATTAGCATCACTTTTGGCAATGCTTTGCTTTGCTTCAGACACGTTTGCAGACTCGTTGCTCCATAAACCACAGTGTGGCAGTCTTGGTAACTTGTGCTCAAAAGTTGAAGTGAAGGTGAATTGAGGGCTGTGATTAAAATAGCTCTCTCATGAAAGTGTGCATGCAGACCAAAATGGAAATTTAGAAGATAAGGATGAGTCTCTCGGCATGTGAAATGTCAACTGGCACTTCTGATTAGCATAAATAAAGGCACAAATACATAAATAACGGGGGAATTTCCTACCATAGAAAATGTTCAGCTATAATAATCAGCATGCAATGGGAAAATTCCAGAAGGGTAGCCATGTTAGGCTGTTGCAACAAAACCAACAAAAAGTATTAGGACATCTTCAAGACAGATTTATGGTGGCATTAGCTTTTGCAGACTAGAGCCCACTTCATCAGACACACAATATATTTGGGCCATCTGTAATCGCCCCAAACCCAATGTCCAATCATAGGCACCCACTGAAGTTCAGACTGTCCTTATTCTCAGAGAGGATGGGCCTAAGTCTGTCGCATCCTATTTCCAGGTTGATTTTAAAGAGGAATACCTTTAAAAATCTACCCAGGAACACATATTGTAAATATATATTTAAAACCATTGAGAATATATTCAAAACAACTTACAAGGTGGTTCAAGGGTTGTGCTCTCCCTCTGTTCCACCCACCCAGGGTGCCAACTTGAATACAACATTGGGGGAGGGCAAGTAAGCCCTGCCCTGCATAAATGAACCGCATCCTCCACATTTCACCCTCAACATCCCGATCTCTCCCTCATTTCTCTCTCCAAAATGGCTGCCTCATACACCCTTATACACTGAGAGGTCTGCCCCCTCACTATGCTGTGAACCTGAGGGAGCAGGCAATGGAGGGGCCATTGGTCCAGAGCCCATCAAACTCATGCAGGGTCCCTTGTGACATCCGCTCCATCTTAGGAGCAGATATATAACAGATATATAAAAATGGAATATATCAAATGAACACGTATACAGTATAGCTAAATGAAGCAGTGCTCATCTGCACCTTAAATTTGTTTTTATACTCTTTATTTAATAATCAGGCTTTATTTCAAAGTATATTGATTCCTCCGTGCATTCAGAAGTCTTCACATTTGATAATAAAAACATGTTCTTGATAACTGAATCCCTTAGCAGTTAATCTCTGGTGTCTTCATTAGTGATGAGAATCGCACAGAGACCCAACTGCATCAAGTAAACTGTGATATGCCACATGATTATTGTTGAAACTCATTTGCAAGTCTCTCTGTATACAAAGGAAGACAGAAAAAATGAAGTTTCCAATTTTAGAGCTCCAGATTAATACAATGGGAAAAGGTTGCATACGTTATTCATTTTGCTTAACTAACACAGTATCTTATACATCCTCTTCATTTAATACTAAATATTTCAGTTGGGTTGGTATATACGTTAAGAATTTTATCAGAGAACTTGTAAAAAAAAGCAGGACTTAAATTGCAATTCAACCCTAAATATAATGACTAGGGAGTAAATCCCACTGAGCTCAGGATTTAATACTGCATAAACATGCACAGGATGGTGCCACAGGGCTGCACTCCTATACACTTACATGATAATAAGTCCCAACAGCTTAGAGAGTATGCCCTGAGAGCAAGAGCCAGTTTGTTTTCTCCCCTCTGAAAGTTGGCCTAAATTTGCACCTATACATATTAATGAGTATATGCAAATTTTATGCCTCCGCATCTTCTAAGTACCCAACAATGCCCTTTTGCCTGTATCTGTTTCATCACGTATCTGAGTTCAAACACCATGTCATTGCAAAATAAATGGCATCCTAATGTACTTAGCTTGTTTCTGCTTGCAAGGTAGGCTGTGTATTTACTCAGACTCCAGTGCTCTCCTACTGCTGGTGTTTGAACCTCAGTACACAAGAAGTTAGCCACAATTCATCTTTACTCTGTAGTTTCTTTATTATGTGCTTTTCCTCAAAACAGCTTCCAAACCATTTGAAGCCATAAGCCATAGTTAAGGCAAGGTGTTTACATTTTAGGCATCCATTGTGCATGCGTAGATGACTGCTGCATTGAATAGGAGTTGGGGCTGTGGGAGCAAGAAAACAAGCTAGGTAGTGATATGCACAGCAATGTAGAAGGCAACTTTTACTCTATACTAAAAACCTGTGGTCATTTGGGGATGCGGGAGTGTTGCATTAATTTTGTATGGGATATTCTGCTTTTATCGCTCCTATGCCCTTCATATCTTTGGCTTTACTTGCATGCTTGGGTCTCTAATCAACAGCCCCTCACACATACACAGCTGTAATAATAGTAATGGGTGCAATTAAAAAATACATATCAAATTTGGTACCCCTCTTTTTGCCAGCATTCATGCATTCACTCTTCCTACCACATTTATTAAGGGTGTCAAAATGTTATATTTATCACCAGTTTCTAAGGTGATTTCCAGTGGCTGAATCGCTGCTGTAATTCAGCTGCAAAGAGGCATACAGTAAGGCTGTCCTGTCTTCTTTGCTTTTTCATTTTAACTATAGAACTCCTGGGGTGTGTATTGAGTCAAAATCTAGAATTTAAGGGCTAGAGATTAACAGACTAAATCATACACTCTGGGTTTACATCAAGGATACTTTAATATACGGTATTTGTGTGAACTGTGTTTCCCAAAGTGAATTACCTAATTAATGGGGTAATCCTATGACAATATCTACCAGGATGAGCAGTCAGGATACAGTGGATCTCTGGATCAACTGGCTGATTCCTGGCTCAGAGGGCATTAAGTCCCCAACCTCATCTCAGCTGAAGATACGCCAACATAACTTGCTCATCCCAGCTTAGCCTGCTGAGCCGAGCCCAATGTACCGTAAGTCCCCCAAAGGGGGCATTCTGGAGGTGTGGGAGGAATGGGACCACAGAAAGGGGACTTAGGTTGGATCCCAAGGTTATTCAGCTTGGTCATGTGACCCAATAACATAACCATTTTAAAGACTTGTTTGCCCTTTTTCCAGTGACTGATTTAGGGGAGAGTGACTGTTTCGGTTGCACTGGATGCGGAGCTTCAGGGGAACTGTAACTATGATGTATAATGGAAGGGGAGAGGTGGGGGAACACCAAATTTTGGTGTTGCACTAGGCACCGCTAAAATTTGAGACCCTAAGGTCGGCCACTGCTCTGCCAGATTTGGAGAGAGCAGAAGCACCCTTACTGAATGGGTTTTGGATCTGGTGTAACTTTATCTTGGCTTAATTTACACTGGCTTACTTTATGCCAGCTTCTTCTGCATTGGGTTGCTCCCAAAATCAGTTTGGCCACCTCTTTGGGTACGCATACAAACACTATATTCTTAAAGACATCAGCCTTGTGTAGTCTTTTTGAATTAATACAATGGAAGCAGTGGCCACAGATTTAGAGTTAGAAATTTTAACTATTAATATAGTGTGTGTATGAATACTTACCAAAGTCAACATTCTCCCCCATCTGATATACTTTTGAATCTGTCTGTTTCGGTGCCACTGATCTGTTTCATGAAAATGGTCCGATGGGCTTTTTTCACTTTCCTTTGGAATACAGAAGGGCTCCATTTTTCATTAGCTGCGAAATGGTTTTTTTAAATTTCCCAAATCTTCAAGACAATCATACCACACTTATCTTTTCTAAAAATTTTATGGCAAATAACTGAACCCCATGAATGCTATGCTAGAGAACTAAAATGCTGATACCATTACATGTTTATCCTCAGACAACTCTGCCTACAATCCTAGTTTGGGACTAGGCAGGCAATTGACTTTTGATCCCTATTCTCACAACACACTCAACACCCTGCGGAAATCCCAGTTTTCAAAATAACTGGAAAACACTTCCTTTAATGTTCTAGGGTTGAAGTTAACATATTACCCTTGGATCAATGAATACGCCCAGATGATGTCTTTTTTTGATGTAACAGCTATGCTAAATAAATTGGCCACAATAAAAACACGAAGCAAATAAAACACCTGTTTATCTATTTTTATTATTGTCTTGTGATGTACTCTTAAGCTCTCACTCTGTTTATGGATCTGGAACTAGCCCTATGGATCCCTGTAAAGGTTGGCAATGAACAAATTATAACCAATGTGAAACAGATCTAAGTGTACTATATGAGGCTTGGGATAAAGAACACAAGAACACAAGGCAGATGGAAAGTAGTGCTTCAGTCTATTGAATCTTCAGGGGGGCAATATCAACTGAAAAACCTGTGCATAGCAGGGAGAGAAATGAACCAGATTTGTGGAGAAGGTACCTTATGGAGGGAATAAGCCTTTTCTGGGGTTCATAGGCATATAAACTTCATTCAGGCTACTGTGCTGTGCTGAATATGGAAACAGGTAATGAGAACCATATTCAGCCTTGGGGTAAGATGTAGGGTGATTGGCTTATTAAAATCCCATAATTAAAAGTCTTAGTGATAGTACTATTAGCGTATGCAAAGTTTTGCAGTATCAGCACACAAGTTAAGGTTACGTTACCGTAAGACCTACCATTAGACTACGTTGGGGGAACAAAATTAGATTCTTATATAGCCCAATCCTACGGGTGTTTATTCAGAAATAAGTCACACTGAGTTCAGAGGGATTAATTCCCGTAAACAAAAGCATATGATTTCAGCTTTTTTTCCTGTATACTTCTATATAAAAAGCTTTTCTAAACTATGGAATTAGTAATTTCAGCAAGTGATCAGGGTAATTGTCACATGGAGTGTATTGCAATTAAAACATTTGCAGAAAGGATTAGGGCTATTGATGCCAGAAATTCCCTTTTTCATCGAAATGCACTCTCATCGAAATGGAGATGGCAGGTAGCAGATCTGGGGGTACCATTAAAGGACAGCAAATTGTCAATTTATTATAAATGGCATCCAAAGCTCCGCAAGTAAAAGTCCAGTAGTGAAAGGGGGATCTGCCTGCCTGTCCTATCACTCTTGCATCTCCCCCCAAAAAGGCACCTGAGGATTAGCAGACTCTCAATAAAGGCCTAGGATGTGATTTGTGCACATGGAGGGGATGATTTGGCTGTCTATATTTGCCCTTGGGGGAGCATTGATATTATTTATGAGTTTGTCTCGCACAAGCAATAGTGACTTTCCCCAACTATTCATAGTCCCTGTATGTAGTTATATTTACTCAAGTTGCATTGTGGAAGTGTGGAGCGTTTTAAGATAGCAGTTAGAATGAAGGATGTAATGCTTCCTAAAGCTGAGGTTGGGAATTGTTAAAAGCAAGAGGGCTGAGAACATAAAATGGAGGCTGCAGCTCTAAATAAAAATAATGTATAATATAAGGCGGGGCTTTCCTTTGCTTTAAGCTGCCAAGGTAACTGCATTTTCAGCCTCAATTTCTTACAACAGGAAGGGGAGGTGGGGAGCGCTTATGCTTTTATTGCCAGGGCTGTCACGATCTGAGCTCTGGAGCACATGTCACCCGCAAAGAAGTGAAAGCAAAGTGAAGTGCTTTCAAGCACAAAAGGGGCACAAAGCAACACAAGAAAAATATTATCGGGGAAGGAATAAAAGAGATCTCGAGAAAAATAAACCAGGCTTTGCTCCGAAAGGAGTCACGCAGAGCGCCTGTCACGGCTTGACTGCCCTAATTATAGAGAGAAATGCAGCATCTTCGTGAATTGAAGGCGTAAATAACTCGCTGGCAAGGGGGCTCCTCGATGCGATTTGGCTTTAGGGTTGAATCTGTATTACACCAAAAACACGGGGGGGGGCGGGGGAGCTGCCCGAATTTCTAAAGGACCACGACTGCTGTCGAGTTTTCATTGCATCTGTTCTCAGCAGAGGGATCGGATTAAATTACTGCCAATTTAGCCTGAATGAAACGTTTCTCTCCTCCACCCCCCCCCGCCTCCCCAGACCCCTCCCCGCAAGAGGGGAAGAGAGCCTCAAGCAGCAGCACCAGGAGAAAGAGGCAGCCAGGCGCGGTACGAGAGGGAGGGGAAAAGTGATCGACAGATCCAATGAGGGGAAGGCAGCCAACGGGCTTCCACGGAGACTGGAGACAATTGATCTGCGGGAGCTGGCTCAGGCTCCCTCTTCAACGTGAGGCGTGCACAGCCTCAGCCTCGCAGATCGCCGGAGCTGGCTGCAAAGCTGCGCGGCTATGGTCCGGAGCCAGTTCCTCGTGGCGGCCGAATCGCGCTAGATCTCCACCAAGCCGGGCAGACCCCCTTGGCGAAGCGGGTTTCTTTTCTGTTATTTTGCTTTTTTCATTGCTTGCTTGTTTTGCTCTTTGCTTGACATTTCCCTGAGAGGCAAAGTGCGCCTCAGCAACCAGCCAGCCAGCCAGCCGCCGTCGGGTCCCCACGTGCACACGCGGGTGCCGATCACATTGGCAGGCTGGTGCTGCAGACTTGAATTTGGGGGGCAGCGGGAGCAGAAGCAGGAGCTAAAGAAAGAAAGAAGCGAGTTTCGCAGCAAGGGTTGCAAAGGCATTGATTGCACCGAGTTGCGGCGGCGGCAGCAGCAGCAGGGATGCCGGCGGCTGCTGGCGACGGGCTCCTGAGCGAGCCCCCCGCGGCGAGCTTCGGCGACGGCGGCGACGAGCCCACGACGCCCCCCCTCAGCCCCGAGGGGACGTTCCTGGCCGCCTGGGTCAACGCCGCCGCGTCCCGGGAGCGGCTCCGCGAGTTCCAGCACACCAAGCGCGTGGGCAATTACCTGATCGGAAGGAAGTTGGGCGAGGGGTCCTTCGCCAAAGTGCGGGAAGGGCTGCACGTCGTGACCGGAGAAAAGGTACTTGGCTCTCGCCCCGCGCTCGAGGGGGGGCAGCCTTTTGTTTTCCCGCCATATGAACCAAGTCAGGCTTTGTTGCCCCTGAGGTGGCCCCACGTGAGGCGACCTCGCCGCTTATTCCGCTGCCCGGACTGCTTCGGGCAGTTGCTTGCTTATCGCCGCTTTGTCCCACCACCGTCCCAGCCTCCTCCCCGCGACCGAAATTTGGTTCGCCCGTCCGCTCTGTCCATTCGCGCGCCGCGTCCCCCAAATTCCCGTCAGCGAGTCGCCCCCCAGGGGCCGCTGTTCGCTACTTTCCCGCTCGCCCAGACGCTTCTCCCTCCGGTTCTCTTCCTATCCTTTGTAATAAGGATGGACGAGAGCTCTAGCGCTGGCTTTTTTGCTTAAATGGGCTTTCCGTGCGTGGGATTCTTCCTCTGGCAAGGGGTAATAATAACAATAATCAACAACAAACACATAGCAGGAGGGGTATTCCAGTGTTGAGGTGCACCAAGAGAAGAGAGCCACCAAAGACATAAAATGTGAGGTGGCCGAATGCAGCAATGCCTTGTGGCACTTAAAAAAAAAATGACAGCACAATCCTATACCTCTGTGCAAAGGTTGCTGTATTGTGCTCCACTGAACATACAGTAATGGGATTAATCACTGTATAAGCATGTATAGGATTGTGCTTTTTAATGTGACATGTAAGCTGCCTTAAGAACCGAAGAGGAACCCTGCTGAATCAGGCCAAAGGCTCAACTAGCCCAATATTCTGCCAACCTAGCAGTTCAAAAGCACACCAGTGCAAGTAGATAAATAGGTACCGCTCCGGCGGGAAGGTAAACAGCGTTTCCATGTGTTCTGTTACTTGGTACGGTGTTCCGTTGTGCCAGAAGCGGTTTAGTCATGCTGGCCACATGACCCAGAAAGCTGTCTGCGGACAAACGCTGGCTCCCTCAGCCTGAAGCGAGATGAGCACCGCACCCCATAGTCCCTTTGACTGGACTTAACCATCCAGGGGTCCTTTACCTTTTACCTTCTGTTTTTATTACAGTGTAGAGGCTGTTGGTCCAAGAGAGACTATGCCACACACACACACAAACACATAAATTGTGTGGCCATAGCAAAGTACACAGTAATCAGTAGTTGCCCAGGCTTTTGCAGTAGATATGTTATGCATTTTCCAATTAGTATAAATAAAGCATTTAGTGCTGCGAAGATGCAATAAAACTACAACAGACGCTCGATACAGACTGTGTCTGGATTTGACATAACAAATGGGTGACAACCGCACCTAGAAAGGTTCTTGCTTTTGGCATTATTCAGTGTGTGCTCTAAATATAATAACTTTGTTGATAACATGCAGCTTTGCTCAATAGTATATGACACAAATGACCATGCTTAAACCACTCACACTTAAATGGCAGTGTAAGGGAAATAAGTAGGGCCATTCCAGGACAACTCCAAAATGTGATTTGAAGATGACAACTCCAGAATATTTTGGAAACTCTTACCAAACAGGTATGTGGGTTAATGCTTGACAGTGACAATGGACTCTTGGGTAATTCTGGTGTGTAACCCAGTGATCCAGATATCTTGTATGGCTAAACTTCTGAAGTGTTTCTGGTTAGATCACTATGGGCTGTCTCTGAAGATCCAAATAGCATATAACAGCCACAAGGATGCTTTTGGGAGTCAAGCGCTTTGATCATGTACACCTGTTCCCTGCCAGTTGCATTGGCTGTCTATTCATATTCAAGCTCAGTTTCATGTTACGTTCTTAAGCTTTAAATGGTTTGGGACCAATTAATTTGAAGTACTATTTTTACCTACCCAGGTGTTGGGGCTGACAGTAGAGGCCCTGCTCTGTTGCTTTCCCTTAATGAGCTATCTTGCTGGTGGGTATGGGGACAAACATTTTCCAGCACTGACTCCTCAGCTGTAGTTTCTTCCTCTATGAAGTGCATATGACCCCCTCTTTGATTTCCTTTCAGACATTCTCATCTTCTCATCATCCTTTTAGTGAAGCTCACTTGATCGTTATCTCTTGCTGTTTGTTTTAAATTTTATTGATTTTAAGTATTTTAATTTTCATAAGAAATATGAATTTTATTATGCATTGTGGTAATGCACCATTTGAGGGGAGTCTCTAAAAAGTATATAAACTAAATAAATATGCTTCAGGTTATTAAGTATGCTTAAGGTCACAGTTCACATTACCTGGAAGTAAGCCACATTGAACCAAGTAAATCCTTGTTTGATCAGTCTTTGTAATCAACACATATTATTTTAGTTAAAAAATAGTTTCTTTACAGTCTACCTCATTTTTTTGTCATTTGACGGTTCTTTTTTTTTACTAAACATATGCCAATACAATAAGACATCATGTTGTTTCTTTTGTACAGGCAGTCTGGTCCTGTACATGTTTACTCAAAACTAAATCTCACTGAGCTTAATGGAGCTTGCTCCCATGCAAACATGCATAGAATTATCAGGAGCATGTAACGAGTTGTTATTTCATATCTGCTTCATAGTGTCATCTGGTGCTGTGTTCCTAAAACGTTGGGTCATGCCCTTGTTATCAGGAGAGTTTTAAAAGCAGAGGTTAAATGAACAGCAGTTAAAGCAATCTCTTGGGGACAGCAAGAGAAAATAGATATAGAAGTGTTGCTAGAAGAACAGCAAGCTTAGATGTTGTTGTGGCAGAAATATTTAACTAGTAGATCCATTTATCAACTAACATATTTATGTCAACCAGAGAGGTGCCCTTGATTTATCATGCAGATGATTTTTTTTAAAAAATAAAAAGCTTATTTTTAATATTTATGCTACCTACATACTGCAAGCATTCCCTTCATTCTGAGGAGGCGGAATGCATTTTATAAGATTATACCCACTGCATCATCTAAAAACAAAAGTATCTCCCCTATTTTTCATATGCAAACTAATTTAATTTAATCATTTAAACAATTAATTGACTAGGTTTCATACCATTAATTAAACAAGATTTATTTGGACAACAGTTCTATTGGCTGACAACAGGGAGCTGGACTAGGACTGAATAATTTAAGGCTCATGAGAGCTCATATATGATTTTAGAGTAGGCACTTTACTACCTCTGTTTTTCTCTTGCCTTCTCGCCTAAATGAATCTGCCTCATCAGTCCACTTATCCCAGGACTACACACACACATACTGTAGTTCTGAATTTACAACATGCTTTAAAGAAAGCAAGACTTCTTTACACTTCCATTCATCTAAGACTGGACTTCATCTTCAGTAATACAGACAGAAGACATCAGGGCTCATAAGAGATAAGACATACACAGGAATGGCAGCGCTGTACTCTTCTTGGATAAGCATATTTTCAGACTATTTAAGGGTATATGCTGCAGAATCTTCCTAATCCGTAGCCCTCTTCATGTGTTACTCACATGATGGGGTTTCCATGTAATCAAGGGAGTTGGTCTGTGATGCTGGCCCTTCCTCAAGATTAAATTGTTTTCTCTGCCCCTGGTGTGCACCTATACAGACATCCATGGGTAATACCTAGATGTCAAGGCAGGGTAAACATCGCAGATAGGACCTGTGGTATGGTTCTGCTACCCCTTGATTGCATAGAGACCCCTTTGCATGAGTAGGGCATTACAAACTAGGGTCTAGGTTTGTCACTTTTTCCTGACAGGGCTCCCTATATTTCTGCCTGTCATGCAGCAGATAAAATAGGTTCTATTTTCCCCAGCCTGGAGATGTAGTAATGGGGAACTGCTGAATTGTGTTGCTATACAGCTGTTAAAAGCACCCACATTCCAACTGTCTTTTTTCCAGCAGCCGCACTCAAACTGTCACTCACTCTTAGCTCCGCCCAGCATTCCATTCCACTCCCTTACTGTCAATCATTCTTCCATTCAAGCTTCCTGTCACATTGGACTTTTCAAATGCTAAGAGCTGTATGCAGAGTGGCAAAGAGCTTTTTATGTCAGGGGACTCAACTCTGAATAAATCTACTAGTATTCTTTTTTCATAAATGTGGCACTGATTAATGAGTTGCAGTTCACATTGGTGCATTGTGCAGATCCACTAGTCAAAGTGACTGTCAAATCAAAGTTTTATGTAGGACTGCCTCTGAAAACAGTTCAGAAACTTTGGCTGGTGCAGAATTCGGTGGCCAGGTTGCTCATCGAAGCAAGACTATTTGAGCATATTACACTGATCCTGGCCCAACTGCACTGGCTGCCAATTGTTTTCTGGGCCCAATTCAGAGTTCTGGTTTGACCAATTAAGCCTTAAACAGCTCAGGACCGCAATACCTCAAGGACCTCCTCTCTCCATATGAACCCACCCGGACCCTGAGATCATCTTCTGAGGCCCTTCTTCGTGTGCCTCCTCCACATGAGAGGTCCAGAGGGTGGCAACAGAAGAATGGACCTTTGTGGAATCTTTCCAGCAGGGAGGTTCAGCTGGTTGCCTTCATTAAAAAGCTTTAGGCGCCAGGCAGAAATGTTCCTCTTCAACCAGGCTTTTGGCTGATTAACATCCGATACCCTTTTTAAGCCAATTTTTTTGTTACATCCAGTGCTTTTTTCGGGGGGGGGGGGGAGACACATATGCAGGGGTATGCATACCCCTAAGCATTTTATTACCGTAATCTAAGTTTGGCCTCATTGAGGGGCAGTATTTCAATATGAGTAGAAAAAAGCACTGATCATAGCTATAGGTTTTGTCTTTTGTATTCTATTTAAGACAACTCTTTTATACCACTTTCATGTTGTCAGGCTATGGTTTCCTTACCCAATATGAATATAGAGAAGATTGAGGCAGTTAAACATATATTAGCTGAAAACAAGTGAGGCAAGTTATTTTTACAGTGGTATTATAGTAAAGTAATGTAAACTTTTAATATTGCAAATAACATAATTAGCTTTAGGTGGGTTTCATGAGTGCCTACTCTCTCTCTTTAAGAAAAGCGATAGCAACTCCGTAGGTTTCCATGGCATTAGTTGCAAAGCTGGGTTAAATAACACAAGGAG